ATGTGTAGTAAAAGTTTTACGAATGCTCATTGTAAAAACCAGTGAGCGGAGCAGTATAGTCGGACGGGGCCGACCATACGATACCCTACACAACTACCACGAACTCTACCTTTCTGAGGATGTTTATTCTGAGTCTGAGTAGTATTTCGTGATATTCGCCCCTGTCGTCCGATTAGAGGTCAACAACACCTCTTTCTTACTTTTTTCGAATATTCAGTACAGTCCTTCTAATTACTTGTCCAGATTACCTTCACGGTGGGTTGTGTTGTGATTTTCGGATTATACTCTACTCGAAAACACACAAAAAATTATGTTTTCCGTCCATTTCATCCCAAAAATCGTATCCTGATCATCACCGAAATTGTAGGCGTTGTTCTTGACTATAACTGGAACTTCATGAAAAATGTCAAAGCCTAATGTGGTAATGGGTTACTAAATAATAGCGTAAGCACCTGATATTTAACTCCCACATCTGAGTAGATACATCACTATATTTGGTATCAATTTAAAGGTGGTAATGGGTTACTAAATATATATGCCATGAATACGCCATTTTTCACACAAAAGTCACCTGTAAATATTTGACTGTAACTCCCACATAATCTGAGTAGATACATCACTATATTTGGTATCAATTTAAGATTGGCCAACTGTGGCCCACTGGACAGACGGACGGACGGACACCTCTTGGATATCAGCTATCAACTCCTAAAGGTGGGTCTACATCCTCAAACAGGAGTAAATATAATACCATGACAACATAGTTGTGTAGGGTATCAGGAGCGGATTGTTGACTATTATTTTATTTATTCTGTGGCAAGTGGTTACTTGATCTCTCGTCCATACATTTGCTGAGATAATTACATTCCATATATTGTAAGTAGGTGATTCGATGAACATTTCAACACATTCGACACATACTGTTATCGCTATTCGTTTATGATGGTACTACGGTTTAATAAGTACCACGGCCCTGGATTATAAAATCGTAAATAACGTCTAAATGTTTTACATTTAACTTGAGAGATAACACCCCTGTTTTCCGACATCGATTGCCCACTGGCTGTCCTTAATAATAGATCATGAATTCTTGATTTTATAATGGTGTTTTTAATATTTTAAAATTTTTGCCACACATTGCTACTGCAGGGTTCGAATAAGTTCGATCATGCCGGACGTAGCGACTTCGTTACGTTATCGTTTCAATTTTTTTTTTTTTTATTTACACCATATTTGATAATATTTTGCAATATTAATATTTAAATTAGCTTAATGTTAAGTGTGTGAGTGAGTGACTGACAGATCATCGCCCAGAAGAAACGGCTGAAGCGTGAAATTTTGAGTGAGTGTTGTTATTGGTGTGTAGGCGAGAGATAAGACTGGGTTTTTTGGAAAGTCGAACTAGTAGGGTACGAAAAGTACTATAATGTATCAAATATGGTAGCCTTTATATTAGGCGAACGGGAAGAGATATTCTGAATTTTGGAATGTGGGTCACTGATAGAAAGTTGGAAAGATCTACAGGAGGGTTTTTGGAAATTCGACCTATAAGTGTACGAAAAGTACTAAAGATTACTAAATTTAGTTCTAATTGTATATATATATATATATTGAACATCGTGAAATCGTGAAATTTTATATGGAATACATGATGGGAAGTCGTGTTGATCTATGGAAATGGTTTAAGAAATTCGTACTTATGCATATAAAAAGTATAAAGTGGTACTAAATTTGGTACTATTTGCATTTTAGAGATGGAATCCTGAAAATTGGAATTTAGACTATTATTGGAGTACATGATTGAGGTAGCTTTAAAAAAATCGTACTTATGTGTACGAAAAAAACTAAATTGTACTAAATTTGGTGCATGTTGGATTTAGGTGAATAGATAGAGCTGGAGTCTTTAAATTGGGAATTAAAATTACTGTTGGAGTGTAGGATTGACGTAGTTTAGGAAATTCTTAATTATAGAAACAAAAAGTACTAAATGTTACCAAATAGTTTACAAATGGGTTTTGCGTCAACAGATAGGGCTGAGATCCTGAAATATTTAATTAATATTGCAGCTGGAGTACAGGATTTAGATATGTCGGAAGTTTTGAAAATTCGTCCTTATGTACTAAATTTGGTACAAATTAGATTTGAATGAACGGATAGAGATTGAAAATGTACATTTGAAATGAAAATTGCAGAATTAAGGCTGTATTGGAATTTCGTACTGATGGATACTAGAAGCACTGAATGGTACTAAATATGGTACAATTCGTTTTGTGTAAGCGGGAATCCTATAATTTGAAATTAAAATTAAGGTTGGAGTGTAGGATGAGACATGGAAGTAGTTTTGAAAATGCGTAATTATGTGTGCTAAATGGTTTTAAGTTTAATACAATTTAGATTTGAGTGAGGTATAGAGATGGAATACTTATATTTGGTAATAAAATTATTTTTAGAGTACAGGATTAAGACAGTGTTGGAAATTCGAACTCATAAGTACGAAAAGTACTAATGGTACAAAATATGTGAAATTGAGGAAGTTTTAGAAACTCGTACTTACGTCTATGAAAAGTAATAAATTGTACTAAATTTGTTGCAATTTGGATGTTTGTGAACGGATAGAGCTGGAGTTCTTAAATGCAGACTTCGGGCCGCCCCCCTGCGTACGTCCCTGGTTTGTAACAGGCAAAAGGAATCGAGATAGACCCATGGTTCCTTTTGAGAATATGCATAGAATCACATTCTGAGTCGATTTATGCATGTCCGTCTGTCCGTCCGTCCATGTATTTTTGTGAGCAAAGTACAGGTCGCATTTATGATCCGAATTGGATGAAATTTGGCACAGCCCATTAGTTTGGCCCAAGGACGAACCCTAACGAAAATCGGTTTAGATTTAGATATAGCTCCCATATATATTTTCGTCCTATTTTAGGTAAATGGTGCACCAAAGTCCCTGAAAATCATTAGATTTGCACGAATTTTGGCATAGCGTACTGAATTAAGTCGACAACGATGTGTGCTAAATTTCAGGAAAATCGGTTCAGATTTTGATATAGCTCCCATATACAGTTTCGCCCGGTTTTAGGTAAATGGTGCACCAAAGTCCCTGAAAATCATTAGATTGGCACGAATTTTGGCATAGCGTACTGAATTAAGTCGATAACGATGTGTGCTAAATTTCGGGAAAATCGGTTTAGATTTAGATATAGCTCCCATATATATCTTCGTCCGATTTTAGGTAAATGGTGCACCAAAGTCCCTGAAAATAACTAGATTTGCACGAATTTTGGCATAGCATACTGAATTAAGTTGACAACGATGTGTGCTAAAGTTCGGGAAAATAGGTTCAGATTTAGATATAGCTCCCATAATTATTTTCGTCCGATTTTAGGTAAATTGTGCACCAAAGTCTCTGAAAATCATTAGATTTGCACGAATTTTTGCCTAGCGTACTGAATAAGGTCTAGAATGATGTGTGTTAAGTTTCGTAAAAATCGGTACAGATTGATATATAGCTCCCATATATAGTTTCGTCCTATTTTAAGTAAATAGTGCACAAAAGTCCGTGCAAATCTTTTGATTTGCACGAATTTTGGTATAGCGTACTGAATTAAGTCTAGAATGATGTGTGTGAAGTTTCGTGAAAATCGGTTCAGATTTAGATTAGCTCCCATATATAGTTTCGCCCGATTTTAGGTAAATGGTGCACCAAAGCCCCTGAAAATCATTAGATTTGCACGAATTTTGGCACAGCGTACTGAATTAAGTCAAAAATGATGTGTGCTAAATTTCGTGAAAATCGGTTCAGATTTAGATATAGCTCCTATATATAGTTTCGCCCGATTTTAGGTTAATGTTCCATCAAATCCCTGCAAATCTTTCGATTTCCACGAATTTTGGCATAGCGTACTAAATTAAGTCTAGAATGACGTGTGCTAAGTTTCGTTAAAATCGGATCAGATTTACAAACACCTCCTATATATTTTTTTGTCCGATTTTAAGTAAATGTTGCACTAAAGACCCCAGCTAGGCCGATTGACGCAACGTACTGAAGTTAATATAAAATAATATCTAGCAACTTTCCTTGAAATTGGTTCAGATCTAGATAGGTTTAGCTTCCATATATAATTTTGACTTATTCATGTTTATCGTACACCAAATAATCAATGGGTGTTTGATTGAGATTAAATTTTAAACAGTGCAGCATACCGAATAGCGTGTGTCAAGTTTGCTTTAAATCATTTTACAAAATTTACCATAGGTTGCAGAATGACATGTGTAGGGATTGATGTTAGTCGGTTTAGATATAGACAAAGATCACATATTTAAGTTCGTTCAATTTCATGTCACTGTTCTTTCGAAAAGTCGACGTCTTTTAGGATATATATGTAGAATATACCCAAAGTGGTGAAGGGTATCATAGAGTCGGCCCAGTCCGACTTTATTACTTTCCTTACGGGTTATTATTATTTTTTGTATTGCCATTCCGCATACGAAGTAGCGGGCACTTTGCTAGTATGTATATAAGTTTTAGAAATATTAGTAATAGTAGGGAAGAATAAACAAGTTGTTTCTTATTCGTAGTAGGATATCTAAATTTATATAGAACTTGTTCACGTAGCGAACATGGATTTCGGATAATAAAGTTAGTGAATGGGTCACGTTAATCCAGTTCACAAATCCAGTGGATTATATTTGACGTATACGCTATGGAATTGACATTTGTGATCAAGTGGACTTCGCAAATCCAAACGTTTAAATGTATTTATTTCTGAAAATTATAACAAACAACGACGTACAGTTGCTAGGCGAGATAAGGATTTTCCGCACACTGCATTTTTCCCCCGTGTAATCAGTTCGTGAGTTCAGTGTAATCAGTTCATCGTCAGCTTTTAAGGACAACACATTTATTTCCACAATATTTTCCTTATATTTGCAATACACTCCAGTACTAAAATATTATTTTTTTAATTTCAGAACAATCTATGAATTGAATTAAACAAAACATGAATTATATAATATTAGTATGCAATATCATCCTATTAATATGTATCCACATAAATGTCCACGCTAACCCTATAACATTTGTTCGGCATACTTTTCCAATTTGCAATTTCGAAGATACAGTCGATTTAACGAATGTCCATCGTTTTACAAATGGCTCATACATTTACGAAAATCGTCTAATACCAGCCGATCAAGTTGCCATCTATGACTATATAGAAGTGTTTGATGGTCAACGTGTACCATATGAACCACATCCACGTGCCTGCGTCTGTCAATATGGAATTTGTCTAAAATTCTGTTGTCATCCGACAAAAGAAATTCTCAACGCCGTTGGCCAGTGTCAGCCAATCGAATATGAAATACCCCAGAGCCAGTTATATGTGAATGTGACATTGAAGAATGGTTGGACATTGCGTCGCAATGTCGCAAGGGAATTTATCAAATTAGAAGGACTACCCTGCCCGTATCCATATGCCTTAATGCCGGAGACATATAAGGAGGAAGAATGGCAAATTATGGATGATGGCAAACTATTGTTGGTCCACTACGATACGATTGTATCGAAAAATGATTATTGTTTGACGCCAGTGAAGACGGCGTCAGATGAATGGTCATTGTCGGCTATGACATGCCCCGTGCCAAATGTTATGTCAACAACCACACGTATTTCGAATGTTGGTATGTTTTTATTAATATTTTAAAATCAGAAAAAGGAAAATATTTTTTTTTTTTTTAATTTTGTCTTTGTTGTTGTTCACAGGTGCTGTGGTATCGACATTGTTTATGATTTTAACCGTGATCGTGTATCTTGCCATACCCGATCTAAGAAGGAACATATACGGCATGTTTATAATCAGCTGTTTATTGTCATTGGCAATTGGCAACTCCATGTTGGCTTTTGTATCATTGTCGGAAATAACATTTCCCGAGCTTACATGCAGTTTTATTGGTAAGTGAAAAAGGGATAACATTACTTTGAAGGCAGCTGGGTGGAATTCGTAGCTGAATCGAAGATTTATCAAGGCTAGGACCAGGTCAAACATTTAATATAAAATATGTTGCGGGACTTCGAATCTAAGAACCTGAAATGCGAAATTATTGCTAATTTGGTCTGAAAATATGAGAAGGATCGTAAAAAGACCTTAAATGAAGCATGGTATGGCTAGGGGCTTCAACATAATTAAATCGACTGGAATATTTAACCTCTGAGAATCTAAAAAAAACTGTAATCAGATCGTCGTATATATAATCTTCAGCAATTTTTAATGGAGATTTTTCCTAAAAGCTGTAAGATCTAAAAAGTGGACTGATATTGATAACGCATGGTAGAGTATAAAATCCTCAAAATACTGTAATATAGATTACAAAGTTATATGAGGGTATGCCTAAAGGGGGACCAATATTGATTACATAGTTTAGGAAATTGTGAATATTTGGAGATATCATTATATGAAGGTTATGCCTAATTAATGACCGGTATATGCCAATTTTGAAGCCAATATTATAACTGTTTATTTCAATTCTTTCCTTCAGGAGGTATTACTATATTGAGGAGGTGCCTAAATGTCTGCCGATATATATCATTATAGTCACGTTTGAGTTTTTTTAATCACAATATCGTTAGAAGGCGGAATGCTTACAATGCTTACAGATGACTAAATAGTCTTTGTAGGGTAAAAATTGACTATTCCCCGTAACAACTACCCTATCGTAACACACGGAACAAATCAGATAACTATTTTAATATATAAAAAAACGGGGTTATATGAGGACTACCCCTAAAAAGGGGTGAATATTAATAAATTTTTGGTGGGGAGATTTGTTGCCATATACGACTACAAAATACCAAATTTCAGCGAATTCGGTTGAAAAACGCGCTCAAGAACCTCAAAATATCGAAAATTGGGGGTATCCTTATATTGGGGACTACCCGAAAAAATTGACCTATATTTATAATTTTTTGTGGAGAGATTTGCTACCCAATAAGATCTCAAATTACTAAATTGCAGCCAAATTCGGTGAAAAAATCCGGTCAAAACCCCCCAAAACCTGGAAATTGGGATGTACACTTATATGGGGGCTACCAGAAAAAGTGGACCTATATTTATAATTTTAGTGGGAAAATTTGGTACCCAATAAGAACACCATGACAGGCGGACATGGCTATATTGTCATAGAATTTTACCCTGATCAAGAATATATATACTTTATAGGGTCGGAAATGAGTATATCGATGAGTTACAAACGAAAAAACAAAATTAATATACCCTCCATACTATGGTGGAGGGTATACACCTTTTTCAAATGTTATTCAATACATTTTAATTGCAATTCGAGAATTTCATGAAATTATGAAATTCAAAAAATTACATTTGAAATTAAAAAAAAAATTTCATTCGTAATTCGAATATTTCAATTTGAATTTCGTAGAGTTTCATTTGAAATTCAAAGAAATCCATTTGAAATTCAAAGAATCCAATTTGAAATTCATAACATTTCACTTGTAATTCATAAAATTTCAGTTGTAATTCATAACAATTCATTTCAAATTCATACATATACCTTTTGTGTTACCAATAATATTTTTCGAATTTAAAATTAAATGTTATGAAAAACAAATGGAATGTTATGTATTTCAAATCAAATGTTAAGAATTTCAAATGGAATTTTATTAATTTCAAGTGGAATTTTATAAATTTCAAACGTAAATACTTGGAATTTCAAATGGAATTCTATGAATTTCGAAAGGTATTCTAGGAATTACAAATGAAATTCTCGAATTACAGCTGATATGTTGTAAATTGCAAATGGAATTCTCGAATTGCAAACTATATGTTGTGAATTACAAATGGAATTCTCGAATTACATTTGATATGTTTTGAATAACATGTGAAAAAGGTGTAAAAATACACGCTTCGGATAGTCTTTAAAAAATACATAAAAAACACGCTGCGTATATTCCTTGAAAAATATATGAAATAACCAGTGAGCGGAGCAGTATAGTCGGACAGGGCCGACCATACGATACCCTACACAACTACCACGGAAATCTAACTTTCTGCGGATGTTTATTCCGAGCCTGGGCAATATTTCGTGATATTTACACTCTTTTGACCGATTAGAGATCAACAGCACATCTTCCTTGCACTGACATATTTTCCGAATATGTATTCCCAATATTCAGTACAGCCCTGTTGTGATGTTCGGCCTATTATTGGCATCGACTCGAAAAAACACGAAAAAATTAAGTTCTCGGTCCACTTCATCCCATTATTATCTGATCATCACCGAAAATTATAGGCGTTGTCCTTGACCATAACTAGAACCTCTTGGAAAATTTTAAAGCGATCAGCGCAATATTTCCGCCCTCTAGTGTGGCAATGGGTTACTAAATAATATCTGAATACGTAAGCACCAGTAAATATTTAAGTATAACTCCCACATCCGATCACATACGTCAATATAATTGGTATCAATTTAAAGGTCAAACAATCTTCTTGAATATACTATTAACTTCTCGGCTCTATGTCATTCAGGGGTAAACATATACGTTATAGAATACACAATTTTTAATTTTTCACACAAACGTCAGAGTCCATTTGACCTGCTAAATATTGACCGATCTTTATCAAAGCAGGCATGCTTATTCTTTGGCCCGATCCCCTTTTCCATGTAAAATTTCACGATGTTCGGGCCATAATTGCGGCCTCTGGAAAAACCGACAAAAATTTAGTATTTTGTCCATTTCATCCCTTAAATATTAACCGATCTTTACCAAAAGCAATAGGGGTCTTCATTGGCCAGAACCCATCCTACACGTAAAATTTCGTGAAGATTGGTCCGTAACTGTGGCCTGTATCGTGTTTACAAATTATAATGGTCAGACGGACGGACGGACGGACGGACACACATGTCTACATCGATTCAGCTAGTCGAGATATGACGATCGGTATACTTAAAGATGGGTCTAGGACCAATATTTCGCGGCGTTACAAACATATGGGGCTGCACAAAGCTATAATACCCTGACAACATAGTTGTCAGGGTATTACTAGTCCTTGAAAAAATTTATTTAAAAAATAGTAATTGAAAGAAAAAAGTAATTAACCCTTTGTGGCCCAATGTTGCCCACAGGCGTTTTAGAGCTTATATTTAATATGCAGCTAGTAGATATATATTATTTGGATTTCATATGTCAAGACCTGATTATGGACGATACATATCAAAAGAAAAATCAAAAAAAATCAAAATGTTGGTAAAGTTATGAGCTTTTCAATATAGAGAAGAGGCTAAATTTGTGTACAGTACCAATTTGTGTATACAGTCCAAATTGTTTAAATCGCTTCGTATTTAAATTGTATGAATTCTGCCATCAAAATTATTTTTGATTCTTGTAAAAATTAATATAGAGAATAATTTAAAATGATTTTTCTGTCGATTTTGCATTTGGTTTTCTTGATATTGGACTTTAATTTTTCCGAAAGAATGTACTGTATCTCCCAAATGCAAGGATGTAGCGATGTCAAATTTTGAGCATGTCCTATTTGGGATAGTTGCATTAAATCTGTGAACAGGAATTTGTTCTATGATTGCGGAAAAAAATTCGGGGCTCAAAGGGTTAAAGAATCTACGCTTTGGATGGTATTTGAAAAAATATATATTTGAAAAAATCCATGCTTGGGATAGTGTTTGAGAAAAAAAATATTTAAAAATCCCCACTAATTGTTCGGATATGTCTTGAAAAATTATATTAAAAAAATCAATTTTTCCGACAGTCCTTAAAAAAATATAATTAATCTCGGATATATTTAGAAAAATCCACGCTTCGGATAGTCCCTGAAAATATATATTAAAAAAATCCACACTTCGGATAGTGCTTGATAAGATATATTAAAAAATCTAGCTGTAAAAAACCTTAAAATACATTTTAAATATTTTTTCTGCAATCAATTTCATTACTATATATTTTCTTTTCAGGTTATGTGGCATATTTCTTTTATGAAAGTGCCTACATTGGGTTATCCCTCATTGGCTTCCATCTGTGGCAGTCTAAGGCAAGGCAAAATAAGGGAGTAATTTCTGCTGACATCTCCGAATTGGGTAATAATTCGTATTTCCCCTATGTCCTTTTTACGTGCCTGATAGCATTTGCTCTAACTTTTGCATTGATGGTCATACAAAGTTCGAATATTCACAATGGCTACAAACCGGGCATTGGTGATGAGTATTGTTGGTTAAATGGTAAGCAATATCCTTTTTTTATGGAATTCATTGTGATTTAAAAAAATATTTTTTTTTTTATTTTAGTACACATCTGGTCGGCATTTTTTTATTTCTTTGCATTGAATGGTATAATTTTTATTTGTGCAATTCTATTCACCTATTTGGCTGCCAAGACACGTGGCAGTCATATGGACAAATACGATGATCGTAAACCAATTGTTTATGAAAGTTCCGACTTGATGAAACCACAACAGGGTCGTATTCCTTATGTGCAGGATACGCGTAGAATGTAAGTCATAATAATATAGACATTATTTGTAATTTTTGTAATTGAATTAATGTATGGGTTTTGTTTTATTTTCCAGGATCTCCATTTACTCTTTGTTATTGCTTGTGTTCCTGATATCCTGGTTCTTGAGCATATCATCGTATTTGGGTGAAATGTTGGGACTCGACAGTGATAATATACTGCTCTACACTTCCGATTTGGCCAATTGCATTGAGGGTCCATTAATATTTCTAGTACTCGTTATAAAACCCAAAGTTATGTCGTTGCTAAGAAATAAATAATCGCTATGGGATGGGTAAGTATCTGGACTGGAGTGGGTTTTTGTGGACAAACTCACATGGACAAATTGAGTATAAATTTAAGAAAATAAACTGTGATAAACTAGTCTTGGGTTATTATTTTTTTTAAAATGTTTTTAAACTCGTGGAATGTTTGACATAGAAGATGGATTTTGGAATAACACACATAGCGTGTCCACGAAATTGTTAAACACAAACCAAACGACGTTTGGTACATACAGGGTGAGAAAAAAACTGCAACAAAGTCAAACGCCATAATTTTTAATTTTTTTTTTAATTTTATTGAATGAAAGCAAAAAATGTCTTAAGTAGCATCAAATTTTAGAATAAGTTTAGATTTGTTCGAATTGGTCACTTCTGGCACGAATTATGGTATTCAAACGGCCAATGAAACCGTCACACGCTGCCCGAATGTTGCTCTGCGGTATTTTGGCCAATTCCCGGCGAAGCGTTTGCTTGAGGTGATCGACAATTTGGTATTTTTTAGTGTCAACCCGGCTTTCCATGCTCATTTTGTGGGGGGCGTGTATTCGCCATTTATCATGATGCCACGGTTGATTAATACGAACGGAGAGCGACCATCGGCTGTTATGGTCGCCCACACCATCACCATGGCCGGCACTTGAGTTCTGGTGGCCAACTGGAGGTGCGAATTTTCGGCGATCATTTTGTTTGTTTACAAACGGCTAGGCAACGAATGTTTTCTCATCGGAGAAAGCCAAATTCGGCAGTTCAACACTTTCGGCCATGAGAAGCAACTCTTCAGCTCTTTTGAGTCTATTTTCTTTCTGTTTGGAATTTCAGTGGCTTTCAATATTTACCGAATCATTTTTTATACCCTTTACCACACTGTGGTACAGGGTATTATGTCTTTGTGCATATGTTTGTAACAGACAAAAGGAATCGAGATAGACCCATTGTTCCTTTTGAGAATATGCATAGAATCACTTTCTGAGTCGATTTGTGCATGTCCGTCCGTCTGTCTGTTGATGTTAAATTGTAAACAAAGTACAGGTCGCATTTAAAATTCGATTTAGATGAAATTTAGTAAAGCTCATTTATTTGGCCCAAGGACGAACCCTATTAAAATTGGGAGAAATCGGCTCAGATTTAGATATACTTCCCATATATAGTTTCGTCCGATTTAAGGTAAATGGTGCACCAAAGTCCCTATATATCTTTCGATACGCACGAAATTTAGCATAGAGTACTGAATTAGGTCTAGAATGATGTGTGCCAAGTTTCGTGAAAATCGGTTCAGATTTAGATATAGCTCCCATATATATTTTCGTCCGATTTAAGGTAAATAGGACACCAAAGTTCCTATATATCTTTCAATTTGCACGAAATTTGGCATGGCGTACATGGCGTAAGTCTAGAATGATGTGTGCTATGTTTGGTGGAAATCGGTTCAGATTTATATATAGCTCCTATATCTTTTTTCTTTCGATTTTATGTAAATTGTGCACTAAAGACCCTAAGTTTGTCCAGCTGCCACACAACTGTGTATAATGAAGTTAATATAAATTAACCTCTGGTTAATATAAATTAATCTCTGGCAAGTCTCGATGAAATCGGTTCAGACTTAGATATAGGATCAGATATATATCCGACCAAATGAAAAATTTAGTATAGGTTGCAGAATGATTTCATTTTAGTGGTCCTTCAAAAATGCGACGTCTGTTAAAATTCATCTGTTCAATATACCCAAGGTGGTGAAGGGTATCATATAGTCGGTACCGTCCGACTTTACTACTTTCTTTACTGGTCAATATTTGCCAAATTGAATATTGCGATATGTTCAGCTACGAGCCATTTTTCGGCCACTGCGACTTTTTTCTGCCAAATTTTCACCAAAATGCTTTTATACGCTTGTAAACACTGGAATAATTTTAACAACTGTCGGACAAGTGGCTTAGAAATTACAGCAGTCTGAAGTTGGTTGTAGTTTTTTTTTCATCTCACCGATTTATTCATCACTTGCGATTTAATACCGATACTTTTTTCTTTCTTTTCTTTCAGATATTGCGAAAAATAACGGCATAACGAAAAATAAAACTAACATTCAAAACTAATTATCAATATATATAAAAGGATTGGTAACAAATATGTCCTAGAAATTAATCCTTAATATGAAATTAATCGTAAAAGGTGTAACCAGTTCTGTTCCCGTACTGCAATAATCTACTACTTTCTACTAACTTAAATGGATTTCCATTTATTTGAAATAGTGAAATTTAGTAGATTCTTGTAGTACGGGAATTGACCAATTATGAAATGAAATTTTTTTTGTGATAGCCATGCCAAATGATTCGTTCATTTTGAAAGTGGTTTAAGTCAATATTAGGTTCAGATGCAAATCTTGGTTTTAGAGAAAAGTTTATAAAAAATTATTACGTTATATATTCTATCATGTTTAAGGGGACAAAGCCACAAACAAAATTAATATCACTTAACCCTTTGTGGCCCAATTCAAAATGCTATTGGTAGATATATATTCTTTGAATTTCATATGTCAAGTCCTGATTATGGACGAAACATAGCACAAGAAAAATCTAAAAAATTCAAATTTTTGGTAATGTTATGAGCTTTTCAATATAGAAAAGAGAGTAAATTTGTGTACAGTACTAATTTGCGTATACAGTCCAAATTATTTAAATCGATTCGCATTCAAATTATACGAATTCTGCCATCAGAATTATTTTTGACTAGCAGACCCGGCAAACGTTGTTTTGCCTTATCAGAATTGCATCAGGGAGGTAAAAATTAACGAATTCATAGAAAACATATTTCCGAAAAAATATACATACTATTTTCCTACATATTAAATTATGCCAGTACGTGTGGTATTTCAGTTTATCGATTGGTCGAACTTATTCCACACCGAACATTTTTTAGGAGAAAGTCAAGTTTTCATTTAACTACTCTTATCTCAAAAGATAATTTAGTATTGATGGCGTAATTACTATTCCTATTTTGATCACATACGATTTATAAGACCTTTGAATCATCACAATTAGAGCAGATGTTCTTGAGTTATAAGAGGTGTAAATAACATAACATTCGATTACTCCAATCTCCGACTTTTTATGTTTTTCTTATAGTAAAAACTTTTCTTAGGGTAAAACTCTTCCCACTGCAATTAAAAACAACAGGAAGTTTGCCATGTCACATCATGAAATACATAACAAAGTATGTATTTTGTTGTCGTTTAAATCTCTAGGATGATTCTATGGACAATTTTAACCAATTTTAGTGAAGGAACCATAGGTCCATCTCGATTTATGAGTCTCCCATTTATATATAACATCATTTTGATTCAAAATTCGATTTTTTATTCATCGTTATATTATCTTTATTATGTGTATATGGGGAGTTTTTGGGATCGAGAAATTCATTTCTGATCTTTTTTTTTTTGCCTATGATCACCGCCAGAGGGCGTTTCATGCATATTTTAACTATTTTTCCGTCTCAAAAAATAGACTATTTTTCGTTGCAGAAATTAGACGAAAAATAGTAAAAATATGTATAAAACGCCCTCTGGCGGTGGTCATAGGTAAAAATAAAGATCAGAAATTAATTTCTCGATCCCAAAAACGTCCTTATACACATAAAAAAATAATATAAATTGTCGGTATAGTATCACTTTGTGGTATATGTCCCACCACATAATGGTAGGCAAATCGGTCCAGCCGTCCTTCAAAATAAGTTTTTCAAGATTTTCGCGAAATTTTCTCAAACTTTTTTTCACAAAAAAACTTTCCCATTTCAATTACAGATAACTGAAAGAAATGTTGAGTCAAATCGGTCCCGCCGTTCTCAATTGATGAGTTAGTATACCGTTTTACATTATATCTTTAAATAGATTTCAATGAATTCTACTTCAATTTGAAAAGTTATTATTTTTTTTTTCGTTAAACTCCCACGCGCTTTTCAAGAAAACAGATTATGTATGAATCGGTGTCGGAATAGTTAACGTCGGCACACGTCGATTAAGCACCCAATCTTTATTTGGGAAAACACAAAGAAGCTATATAGCGCGCCATCTGTCGGATGAACTTAAAATTAAACAGAAACACTCCTCACGCCCCATAGAGGATATACACAATGTTCGGTCAAAATCGGTACAGTAGTTCTTGCGTTACGGTGCAAAAACACTAAATAGTGCGCCATCTGTCGGATGAACTTGAAACTATACAGAAACACTCCTCACGCCCCATAGAGCATGTACATAAAATTTGGTGCAGTAGTTTTTGAGTTTAGCGATCACTAACATACACCTAATCAATTTTTATACATATATAGAGATAGAGATTCTTGTAAAAATGAATACAGAGAATAATTTCTAATTAAATTTCTGTCGATTTTGCATTTGGTTTTCTTCAAATTGGACTTAAATTTTTCCGAAGGAATGTACTGTATCTCCCGAATGCAAGGATGTGGAGATGTCAAATTTTGTCCATATCCTATCTAGGATAGTTGCATTAAATCTGTGAACAGAAATTTCTATGATTATGGAAAAAAAATCGGGGCTCAAAGGGTTAATAACATTTATGAAGCAAACCAAACCTTTAAACACTCAATATAAGAAAAACTGGAGTTAAACCACTTTTAAAATAAACGACTCAAATAAACTTTGATATTTATGTTCAAATTTTAAATATATACATCGATTCATACTTTACAAGTATATATATATATATATATATATATATATATATTGAATTAAGTTTATGCTAAAGTCTATAGTTAAAATTATGTCCCTTGAAGCATTTCATTAGTGACGACGAAATATGAGCAAACCTGGCCGAAATTCTGGAATCTGGAAATTTGTCACGTTTGGAGGAATTTGAATCTCTTTAGTTGGTAAATTGAAACATATAGAATCTAACAAAGCTGAAAATATACATATTTTATACATATACATATTTTACAAATACATATATATGATATGATTTTATTTTCCTTATTTCCGGAGGTCT